ATTTATTACTTCGTTTTCTCGGTTTCTCAATTGTTCTACATTTAAATTTTGGAAAATTTTCAATTACAGGCTTTTTAGATTTGTTGATCTTTCGATTGCTCGATTTTTCGACTTTTCGGATTTCGATTTTCCAATTTTTGATTTTTTGAGTTTTCGATTTCTTGGTCTTCTAATTTCTGGATTTTTCGACTTTTCGATTTTTTGATTTTTCAATTTCTTTCTTGGATCTCATTTTTGATTTGTCAATTTTTCGGTTTCTCGATTTATGGAGATTTCGATTTTTCAATTTTTCGATTTATCGTTTTTCTTAAGTTTAAATATTTCAATTTTGAATTTTTAGATTTTGGGCTACTTCGATTCCTCAGTTTTGCGATTTTTCGACTTCTCGATTTTTCAATCTTTTGACGTTTCGAGTTCTGGGTTTAGCCATTTTTCCACTTTTCGATGTTTCACTTTTTCAATTTCTCAAATAAATGACATTCCAGTTTTGGGATTTTTCAATTTCTCGATTTTTAAATTTTACGTCTTTTCGTTTTTCTCAGTTTTTCCACATTTCGATTTCAGGAATTTTTCAGTTCTACATTTTTTGATAATAAATAAATAAATAAATAAATAAATAAAGTTTATTGCCCAACAGAACTACACATTCCAGTTACAGGACAATTATAAAGAATATAAAAACAATGACAACAATTCAGAATCAAAGAAAATAACAAATTAATAAATTAAATGCATAAATAATCAAAGATCTCAATATAATGAAACATAAGAACAGTAACTTAACTTAAATAAAATTAAAATAGAAATAAATGAATGAATGAATAAATTAAAGCCGAAAATAAATACCTACATTTATCTGCAATATCAAAAATCAAACACACAATCTGTAAATCTAGGCATATACATCAAGAAGTAAATAACTTAAATTAAAATACAACAGTATGAAAACCATATCTGAAAGTAAAGTGTAAACTACATAAGCTTAATTCTAACAGTGTCTTTTATAGACTTAAGGCTAGTGTTAAAAATGTCAAAATCGGAATTCATTTCTATTTCTTTTAAAAAATAACTTATTACATATATCGGTGCTTTTCTCCCAAAATTAGTTCTAGCAATGCTAGTGTATAATGTTACAGAATGCCTGCTGCTAGTTCTAGGTACCAGAAAGGATAAATAACACTGGCCTACACACATTTTGGTGCCTAGAATTTTAGACCTGATTTTAAATATGTCTTATCAAATGATATCAAAATTGCTACTTATTTTTCTGTATCAGCTCTTGTTTACGAGATAGAAAAAAAAATGCATTTTTACAGAACTACCGGTTTATTTTCAATTTATACTTCGAGAAATTGTCTTTTAAGTGATTTTGTCGGACAGTCAAACCGGATATTTGTAAAATGTTCCCTTGGAACTTTGAACACGCTATATTTCTGGAATAAGCACACCCAGATCTAAATCCCAAAATTTTTTGTAGATTTTTAGATTTTTTCAAAATGACGATTTTCCAATATGAAATTTTTGATCAATTCTGAAAATAATCGAAACCGATTTTATAATTTTTGAAACATTCTAATTTGAGGCCGAATATTTTTGAATTCGGACTTCAAATGAACCAAAAAAAATAATAATTTTCGCAAATTTTCATTTCGTTTAAAACATCTACAATACTTTATTGAAAGAATTTTTGTAAAAACAAAAACAATATGTACAAGCTAGCTTTTCAAAAAAGTTTTAGTTCGTTAATAAGATCAAAGGTTAGTTGTTTAGTAGTTAATAGTTCCGTTGGTTCTCGTTGTTCGTTTTCATATTGTAAACACTTATTCTTTTATATTTCCTGTCATTGGGTTAAGTATCTAAAGCAAAGAAATTATTATTATTATTATCATTTTCTGAATGGGTTAAATAGGTCTTTCTGCTGAAGATACATTGGGATATTTCCATTAGTGTCAATTGTTTTTGTTGATGCCCACTATATTGGTCATACAAAAATAACAGTCGTCATGATGATTTTTTTGTTCTTGCCAAATCATAGGTACTCCAAACTTCATACACTTATGTGTTCCTTTCACCCATTGTCGCAAATGTTCAATGCACATTTCACATGCACTATGAGGCACCCACGGTTTATCTTGGTTCCGTATTTAGATACCGTAGTTAGGAAAATACAAGCGGATCACAGAGTCCGTAATCGATTTTCGCTGATTATTGAATATGTATTCACCACAAACGTAACAAAACATATCAGGGTTGTTCATACAACGTCTAAACTTACTACCCATAATGAAATAAGTAGATACATTTTATCTGTGCTCTTGTAAGATTGACTGTTTCGAACAAAACCGGGAAAAAAATGAAAATGAGGATGGTAGGCACACAAGAGCTGATGGGTTGAAATGACAAATGTCAATATACTGTACTGTACCTATCTTATGGATGACAAATACAAAAAACGCTGCACCAAAATTTTTTTTGTTTTTTGTAGGCCTGTGTAATTAGTTAAGGGCCTGCAATCAATTTGATTATTTAATAATTTATATAAAAAGACGATAACGCCAGTAACACGTCTACAAAATAATGAACTCATATCAAATTTTTCTAGTAGAGCTGTTTGCGGATAATTTCTCGTTGGCCATGTTTTCTGTTCCTTAAAATAGAGGTACTTTAAAAATCTGCGCTGTATGTTCTCAAGGCATACTACTTGATAGTTGTAATAAGGAAACCAAGCTAACGCACAGTATTCTAATTTAGAGCGCACCAAAGCATAGAACAAAGTTTTCAAAGCTTGAATGCTAGTGAAATCTTTGCAGTTTCTAATAAGGAACCCTAGTGATCTTTTAGCTTGTGAAGTAATGCTCTCCACATGTTCTGCAAAACTGAACTTATTATCATACAAAACACCTAAATCCAAAATGGAAGAGCATTTCTGTAAGCTGTGATGATTGATTTTGTAATCAAACTCGCATACATTAAGCTTGTGTGTGAACGAAATAATAAAGGATTTATTCTCATTTAAAGGTAAAAAATTGAGCAATGACCAAGAAACCAAATTATTTATGTCTTTTTGAAAAAGCAAGGAGTCACTAATACCACTAATTTCACGGTATATTTTAATGTCATCTGCGAAAATGAGAACTTTTGAGTAGCGAATACAATCTAGCACATCGTTAATAAATAATGTGAATAGCAAAGGACCAAGAGTGGAGCCCTGCGGCACTCCAGCAGCTGTGATGTAACTGTTGGACTTAAATCCATTTACTACCACAAAATTGTTGCGCTTAGTCAAATAAGATTCAAAAAGATTTGTGAGAGAATTAGAGAAACCAATATTCGACAGCTTTCTTAATAAGAGCTGGTGGTTGACTCTGTCAAAGGCCTTTGAAAAATCACCATACATCACGTCCAATTGACCTCTGTTATCCAAAGCCTGAGATATATCTTGGGAATAGCAAGTTAAATTCGTTAAAGTGGATCTGCCCATGGTAAACCCATGTTGGCCCTCATTTACTAACAACTTAGTTTGGAAGGAGATCTGATTAAAAAGAATACGTTCAAATATTTTTGAAAAATTGCACAGCAACGAAATAGGTCTATAATTGCTCACTGCTGAAACATCACCACTCTTGAAAATGGGCACAATCTTGGCGGTTTTCCACTTATCCGGAAAGCATGAAGTTTTTAAAATTATATTAAAGATATGCATTAGGGGCTTAACGAAAACATTAGAACAGTCTTTAACCAGAAAACTGGGAACTTGATCATCTCCAGCAACTTGACTATCCTTAAGTAATTTTATTGCCCTGCTTACATCATCTTCAGAAATAACCACATTAATGCAACTATTACTAATACCTGTAAGCTGACTTGAATGAGCAAAACTATTCAATGAAGGATTATGAAAAGACGAAGAAAAGAATTTAGCAAAGCAATTAACAATATCAGCTGGGTTATCATGAAAATTATGGTTAAGGTGAACTTTATTGGGAATATTGGAGCGCCCCTGTTTTTCTTTGATATACGACCAGAAGTATTTAGGATCACGCAGTAAAGCATGCTGAACATTTTTAATGTAGTTATTAAAATCCCGACGCAAGAGTTGTTTAACAATACGACGTAAAGAACTGAAGTGATTTCGAAGATGACAGGAAGGCTTTCGTTTGATTTCTCTAAACACTTTATGCTTCAGAATGATTTGTTGTCTAAGTTCAGTAGTATACCAACTCGGGAAACTGAATTTGGAACATTTAAACAATGGTACATGTTTATCAAACAATGAGTACAATATTCTGTATAACGTCTCACAGGCACTATTCACATTAGTGGACTCATACAGGACATCCCAGTTAGTGGTTAATAGACCATTATATAAAGAAACATAGTCCGCCTTTTTAAAGTTATAAGTTTTTACATCTGTACACATAGACAAATTTTCGTAGGTACCAGTTTTTAAAACCAAATTAATATTAAGCGCAGGATGGTGTCGATCTTCTGGCACAATAGGACAGGTGTCCTGTTCAACCAAACATTTGCCGTAATTGGTAAAAACTAAGTCCAGTAATACCTTATTACAGTTACGAATATTGTTATACTGTTTTGATGTTGCGATCGCTCAATTTTTCGACTTTTCCGGTTTCGACTTTTCAGTTTTTCAATTTTTCGAATTTTAAAATATTTGAATTTTTAATTTAATGAATCAGTTAAAATAATTTTTAATAAAAATTCTCACCAAAGGAATCTGACCTAACTTGACCTGACTTGACCCACCATGACCTGACAAACATTAGGACTGTCAGAAAGTTTAAGATTTTTTAGACCAATTTTTTATTATTGTTGCTGCACTGTGTTATATTATGTGAAATTTGTACAAAATTAAATTCTGACGAAACAGTGTGCTTTAAGCTTTAATCAAGGATGACTTGATTACAAATTGTGCAAAATAACGCCCCTGTTCTACGTTTGGCGACCGCTAGACTTCGACCCATCCCCTATACATAACCCCTATGTTATACAACTGTGTATCGACGCCGCCACCTGCCAAACCCCCTGATGCAGTGGCCCGGCAGCCTGAAACCCGCCTCCAGCGCATTTTAATTCCAGTTCGCTAGCGACACCCAACTCACAACAAAACCCAGAAATTTCCTTCCGAATTAAGGAAACCGTCTTGCCATTCCAGCCATAAATTTGCATGTGCAGCCACATTAGCAATAATTTACGAGTACGAACCGGCGGCATTAACCCGCCACCGGTTCAGGTGTAGTAATAAACCAGACCTTGGTATTATCGAGCAGTTTGCCAATACTTTCGCGTTTCGGGCTAAGCAGCCCATGGAAGTATTCCCCGGCACCATCCCGCAACCTTTCCGACACCTTATTTGCCTCGCTACATCCGGTCGTGCTCACTTCCCTACGATAAGGTCAACAGAAATATCATTTGGCGATTTTATCTCGACCGATTCTTGCAGTTTCGTGGGTTGGTAACGTAATGGATTATTGTCGGAAATGGGCAGTGTGTGAATGAGGAGTGATTAGGTCGGGGTTGTTCGTGGAAGGTATTAAAGGGGGAATTTCGGGTACGTGGACGGTGATAAAAAATTAACTGATAGTAATTTTCACGGTTATGATCAGATAAACAGACGCAAAGGGAAAACCTGCATTTTCTTGTCATTTAGTTTCGAAATTTGAGCGCAGGTAAAACCGATTATTATAGCGTTATGATTAAAATTGAAGCTGTCATTCTAAAAAATTACACAATACTGCGGGAAAATGTAATCAACGTTTACATAAACACAAGATTTTTTGCCGTCGCTACTAATAAATTTTCATTCGCTGCACAACAAACTTGTTTATAAAATCTCCGCCTGCCATCACCTTGTTAGAGAACAAAGAATCAAAATGTGAAAGCAGAGAATGTTTGACGACCTAATAATAACATAACAGCATAAATTAGGTAATTCAGTCTTGAAATTAGATTATTACGTGACTACAATGTGATGTCGGGGCAACATTGTTCTTTTTTTTTAACAAGCTTCAGCGCTTCATCACGTTGTGTGAAGCTAAATTTATTTATCTACATTGTTCACGCCGTAATTGCTGTTGACATAATGATTAATGCTATATAATTATTATTACGTTGGCACATCGATTAGGAAAACAAATTCGTTTTCAATTAATTTAAGACGGGGTTTGAGATTGGAGGGAGAATTTCCTGAGGATGCGTTCTTTCCGAAACGACTACACGCTTTTCAACAAAATATGACCGCAACAAGTTGTGAAGGTTCAACAATATCAGAAAAAGCTTTTAAAATGTCCATTATACGGATGAGAAACCGGTTACGTCATCTAACCCTTTACTCCCTAAAGCAATTAAGGGATGAAACTCCACCTCCGCATTAATAAAAGATGAATTGTCCTAGGCGAATACGTAAGGATTTTTGTGTTGATTTGTTTAAAGGAGGGCTGAATTGTGAAAATGGTATTGTTTTTTAATTAAAGGGATTCTGGAATGAGCTAGTGGCAATTTAAACTCGGGCTTGGGTAAAGCAGGTTTTCGGGAAATGGCGAATCTGCACATTTAGGGTAATGTGGGCTCAGTTGGAACGGAAAATACCTGTTATCTTGTTAAATTTATAATGTGGAGTGATTCGGGAAGCTCGTTCGGGGTATCGTACGAATAAAAACAACGTCTTCCGCTGTTAAAGTAGTCTAAAGTTTCAGGGGATTTATTGGAAAAAGCATCCGATGATGTTTGATATATAATGCAAACATTCATATTTATAGCGCTTTTTCAGGATTGTTTTTCAAATGTACGGGGGATGCTCGGAAAAATCGGGACTGACGACTAAAACTGACGTATTTTATCTGAAATTATAACCAAATCGCGGTTTTTGAAAGAATTTCGAGCAACCTTACGTGTGTTATTTTTGAAAAATCTTGAGAATCACGTCTGTATTATTTTTGAAATAGTTTGAATGTAACCGTTCCAAAAAAATTTCGCTTATGTTATAATTTTGAAAGAATTCGAAAGAATCTTGGGGTCTCTGCTCCCTCATTTCTGAAAGAATCTTGTGGACTTCTATTTTATTCTTGATAGAGTTAGAATGAATCTCAGGAAAATTGATATTTTAATTTGGAATTTGAAAGAATCTCTGGAATCCCTTGTGTTTTATTTTTAAAGAGTTTGAAAGAGTGTCAGGAATAATTTCTGTTTTATTACTGAAAAAATCCGAAAGAATCACGTCGATTCCCATTGTTTAATTTTTGGAAGTTTGAAAAAATCTCGGTTTTTGAAAGAGTTTGGAAGAGTCTCGGAGAAGTCTTCTGTATTATTTTTAAAGAATCTGAAAGAATCTCAGGAGCTTTCTCTATTTTGTTTTTAAAAGGTTTTGAAAGAATTTCGAGGAAAGTTAACGTGTTATTTTTGACAGAATCTTGAGAACCACGTTTGTATTATTTTTCAGAGATTGAATGAAACAGCTCAAAAAAATTTTCGCTCCTCTTATAATTTTGAAAGACTTCGTAAGAATCTCGGGATTTTTGCTCCCTCATTCTTGAAACAATCTCGTGGAATTCTTCTCTTTTATTCCCGATAGAGTTAGAATGAATCTCAGGAAAATCGATATTTTATTTTGGAATTTGAAAGAATCTCTGGAATTCTTTGTGTTTTATTTTTCAAAACTTTGAAAGAATCTCAGGAATGATTTCTGTTTTATTACTGAAAGAATTCGAAAGAATCGCGTCGATTCCTATTATTTACTTTTTGAAAGTTTGAAAAATCTCGGTTTTTGAAAGAAATTCGAGTAACCTTACGTGTTATTTTTGAAAAATCTTGAGAACCACGTCTGTTTTATTTTTGAAAAAGTTTGAATGAAACAGTTCCAAAAAAATATCGCTTCTGTTATAATTTTGAAAGAATTCGAAAGAATCTTGGGGTCTTTGCTCCCTCATTTTTGAAAGAATCTTGTGGACTTCTATTTTATTCTTGATAGAGTTAGAATGAATCTCAGGAAAATCGATATTTTATTTTGGAATTTGAAGGAATCTGCGGAATCCCTTGTGTTTTATTTTTGAAGAGTTTGAAAGAATCTCAGGAATAATTTCTGTTTAATTACTCAAAGAATCCAAAAGAATCACGTCGATTCCAATTGTTTAATTTTTGAAAGTTTGAAAAATCTCGGTTTTTGAAAGAATTTCGAGGAACCTTACGTTTTATTTTTGAAAAATCTTGAGAACCACGTCTGTATTATTTTTGAAAGAGTTTGAATGAAACAGTTCCAAAAAAATTGCGCTTCTGTTATAATTTTGAAAGAATTCGAAAGAATCTTGGGGTCTTTGCTCCCTCATTTTTGAAAGAATCTTGTGGACTTCTATTTTATTCTTGATAGAGTTAGAATGAATCTCAGGAAAATCGATATTTTATTTTGTAATTTGAAGGAATCTCTGGAATCCGTTGTGTTCTATTTTTGAAGAGTTTGAAAGAATCTCAGGAATAATTTCTGTTGTATTACTGGAAGAATTCGAAAGAATCGCGTCGATTCCTATTATTTACTTTTTGAAAGTTTGAAAAAATCTCGGTTTTTGAAAGATTTTCGTTGAACCTTACGTGTTATTTTTGAAAAATCTTGAGAACCACGTCTGTATTATTTTTGAAAGGGTTTGAATGAAACAGTTCCAAAAAAATGTCGCTTCAGTTATAATTTTGAAACAATTCGAAAAAATCTTGGGGTTTTTGCTCCCTCATTTCTGAAAGAACCTTATGGACTTCTATTTTATTCTTGATAGAGTTAGAATGAATCTCAGGAAAATCGATATTTTATTTTGGAATTTGAAGGAATCTCTGGAATCCCTTGTGTTTTATTTTTGAAGAGTTTGAAAGAATCTCACGAATAATTTCTGTTTAATTACTGAAAGAATCCAAAAGAATCACGTCGATTCCAATTGTTTAATTTTTGAAAGTTCGAAAAATCTCGGTTTTTGAAAGAATTTCGAGGAACCTTACGTGTGTTATTTTTGAAAAATCTTGAGAACCACGTCTGTATTATTTTTGAAAGAATTTGAATGAAACAATTCCAAAAAAATATCGCTTCTGTTATAATTTTGGAAGAATTCGGAAGAATCTTGGGGTCTCTGCTCCCTCATTTCTGAAAGAATCTTGTGGACTTCTATTTTACTCTTGATAAAGTTAGAAGGAAAATCGATATTTTATTTTGGAATTTGAAGGAATCTGCGGAATCCCTTGTGTTTTATTTTTGAAGAGTTTGAAAGAATCTCGGGAATAATTTCTGTTTTATTACTGAAAGAATTCGAAAGAATCGCGTCGATTCCTATTATTTACTTTTTGGAAGTTTGAAAAAATCTCGGTTTTTGAAAGAATTTCGAGGAACCTTACGTGTGTTATTTTTGAAAAATCTTGAGAACCACGTCTGTATTATTTTTGAAAGAGTTTGAATGAAACAGTTCCAAAAAAAAATCGGTTCTGTTATAATTTTGAAAACATTCGAAAGAACCTTGGTGTTCTGCTCCCTCATTTTTGAAAGAATCCTGTGGACTTCTATTTTATTTTTGATAGAGTTAGAATGAATCTCAGGAAAATCTATATTTTATTTTGGAATTTGAAGGAATCTCTGGAATCCCTTGTGTTTTATTTTTGAAGAGTTTGAAAGAATCTCAGGAATAATTTCTGTTTTATTACTGAAAAAATCCGAAAGAATCGCGTCGATTCCCATTGTTTAATTTTTGAAAGTTTGAAAAAATCTCGGTGTTTGAAAGAGTTTGGGAGAGTCTCGGAGAGATCTTCTGTATTATTTTTAAAGAATCTGAAAGAATCTCAGGAGCTTTCTCCATTTTATTTTTAAAAGGTTTTGAAAGAATTTCGAGGAAAGTTTGTTATTTTTGAGAAAATCTTGGGAACCACGTTTGTATTATTTTTCAGAGTTTGAATGAAACAGTTCAAAAAAAATTTCGCTCCTGTTATAATTTTGAAAAAATTCGTAAGAATCTCGGGATTTCTGCTCCCTCATTTTTGAAAGAGTCTCGTGGAATTCTTTTCTTTTATTCCCGATAGAGTTAGAATGAATCTCAGGAAAATGGAGTTATTAGATCTAAAATCAATTTTGACGTAGACAAAGGTAACAGTAAGACCAATTAGTAGCTTAATAGTCTTGAAAAGGAGTGTTTTTGAACTGAAGAACCCACACACAAATGAAAACACAAGTCAGTAGGTAAACGCTAAAATAATCAATAAAGCCCATTTACAGCAATTGTACTGTGACATAAAGTAGATTTAGCCCGAAAACACTATTTTCATTCATTCTAAACGAACATTTAGTTCCTGTTTATTCCCCAACATAGCCACTATATAAACTGACAATCCAACCTAGATGTATCACCGTTGTGCACTCAACCATTGTAACCAAACCGATATTCAGCTCGTTAACAACTCGAACAAACCCATCTAAAAAATCCTGAAATTTTTCGTCAAACTCATCCCAACCCCGACCCACTCCTAATTAGAACAAGAAAACACACTTCGTACTCTTATTCTCAATTCACAGCATCGCAAAAAACCAACACTCCCTGTGTTACCTAATTATCTTTTTTCATTCTAATTACATTTTGTTTTCATTGTTACTCTCCAAACACAATTAAAACGTGCACACTGATGGAAAGTTAGGGCGAAAGCTTTCGCAGGAAGCGGATTCGCGCAAACAGGTTTGAATTATAACCGACTCTATTTTGGTTTGAAGCGAACGCGAAAAGTTGGACGCAATAGAGCTTCGGAAAGCGCTCGCTGAACAGGTGGATGTTGGGGGTTTCGGTTTTGCTTGTAAAACGGATAAATTAAGATTAATTACAAGCAAATTAGTTCCCGAGGGCGAAGCTCGAACTTTGGACGATATAGACGTATGTGTAAAGCCGATTAAGACACTAAGAGGATTTCGGCGGAAAAAAGTTCATCAAAGCGTTACAAGGACCGATACTTGGGAGATGAAAGGGAGCGGAGGCGAAATAAAATTAGTATGGTTGGGCTATTTCTGCTTTATAGTTTTCTTTATGGAAATCTGGGGTAAAAATAGAAAAAAGAAACGACACGTGGTGGAAATGTCGATTAGAATGCGGTCGTGCTAATAATAATCGTGTCAAAGTTCGCGAACAGTCTGATCATGTTCACAGTACTCCGAATATTATAAAACTAATGATTTTTATTGGAATTTAGAATTTCTTCACAAAAGCTTCCATGTGGGTGTACAGCACTCAGATAAATTGGTACGAGGGGCGCCTGCACCTCGACACACGTAACTGGCACACCTGGCTTCATCCACAAAAGATCTCAATTGCCTTTATAATATTTCATCGTTTTTATATCTTTTTTTTTATGATATCATAAAGTGAAATAAGCTATTTTATGCAAGAACAAACTCCACATTCGAGCCTCATTGTCTGAAGTCTTCATTTCGTGAGTGTAGTCGAAGCCATGTGCTCTGGTTGTGTTTATTTTGTTTAAGTACCGGTGTGAAAAAATCATTCACTTTTTGTGCAAGTATTACATATTTTTTTATTTTTTTTAATGCAATATTTGGGTCCTGGAAAGCTTTAGAAAATGATAAAAAAATTCCATGCTTGTTCATAAAAAATAAATAACTTCCGGAAATTATTGCTGGCACAGAAGACCATTTGAAATGCTGAAATTTGTGTTGTTTAGGAAAATAAAATGCTGAATTGCTCAAACATTAAAACGTTTAAAGCACATAAAAACTTGATATAAAAAAGACTTAATCTCCAGGTCTATTAATTTAATTTATTTAGACGTATATACAGAGTTTCAGCTTTTGGAATAACTACACTTTTATATTAAAAATGTCCAGTTTCACCGTGACGCAGAAAATTCATTAAATATTAAAACGAAAAATTTATTCGTATATTTATTTGTCCATTTCATGCCGATTTTTGCGAACATGTTGTTCCGTGACCACTTACATGGTATACATATTTTTGAAATCAGCATGACGAGATCTACGTCCCTGAATTTTTTCTCAATTTTTTGACGACTTTTTTTAAAAGTGAAATTTTTCCAATGGTCCCCCCTTCTTCAAATTTCGGCCAATTTTTGACATTTTCGAAACTCAACTAAATACATTTTCTTGTAGATTTTGAACTCTAGAATTCACTTCCGGCCTCGTTTCTTTGATAACTGCAACCGTTTTTCCGGAATCGACCGTTGAAATATCGCGATTTTTAGAAATCTTCAAAAATTCGCATTTTGTACCGATTCTTTCGAAAATGTGGCTCCGAGACCATCAACACACCATATTTTTGGAATCAGCTTGTCAAGATCTACGTCCCTGAATTTTTCCCAATTTTTTGACCACTTTTTTTAAAAGTGAAATTTTTCCAAGGGTCCCCCCTTTTTCAAATTTCGGCCAATTTTTGACATTTTCGAAAGTCAACTAAATACATTTTCTTGTAGATTTCGAACTCTAGAACTCACTTCTGGCCTCGTTTCTTTGATAACTGCAACCGTTTTTCCGGAATTGACCGTTGAAATATCGCGATTTTCGAAAATTTCAAAAATTCGCATTTCCTATCGATTCTTTCGAAAATGTTGCTCCGAGACCATCAACACACTATATTTTTGGAATCAGCTTGTCGAGGTCTACGTCCCTGAATTTTTTCGCAATTTTTTAACGACTTTTTTAAACTGAAATTTTTCCACTGATTCCCCTTCTTCAAATTTCGGCCAATTTTTGACGTTTTCGAAACTCATCTAAATACATTTTCTTGTAGATTTTGAACTCTAGAATTCACTTCCGGCCTCGTTTTTTGATAAATGCAACCGTTTTTCCGGAATCGACCGTTGAAATATCGCGATTTTTAGAAATCTTCAAAAATTCGCATTTCGTACCGATTCTTTCGAAAATGTGGCTCCGAGACCATCAACACACCATATTTTTGGAATCAGCTTGTCAAGATCTACGTCCCTGAATTTTTCCCAATTTTTTGACCACTTTTTTTAAAAGTGAAATTTTTCCAAGGGTCCCCCCTTTTTCAAATTTCGGCCAATTTTTGACATTTTCGAAAGTCAACTAAATACATTTTCTTGTAGATTTCGAACTCTAGAACTCACTTCCGGCCTCGTTTCTTTGATAACTGCAACCGTTTTTCCGGAATCGACCGTTGGAATATCGCGATTTTTAGAAATCTTCAAAAATTCGCATTTCCTACCGATTTTTTCGAAAATGTCGCTCCCAGACCATCAACACACTATATTTTTGGAATCAGCTTGTCGAGATCTACGTCCCTGAATTTTTTCGCAATTTTTTGACGACTTTTTTTAAAATGAAATTTTTCCAAGGGTCCCCCCTTCTTCAAATTTCGGCCACTTTTTGACATTTTCGAAACTCAACTAAATACATTTTCTTGTAGATTTTGAACTCTGGAATTCACTTCCGGTCTCATTTCTTTGATAACTGCAACCGTTTTTCCGGAATCGACCGTTGGAATATCGCGATTTTTAGAAATCTTCAAAAATTCGCATTTCCTACCGATTCTTTCGAAAATGTCGCTCCGAGACCATCAACACACTATATTTTTGGAATCAGCTTGTCGAGATCTACGTCCCTGAATTTTTTCGCAATTTTTTGACGACTTTTTTTAAAATGAAATTTTTCCAATGGTCTCCCCTTCTTCAAATTTCGGCCAATTTTTGACATTTTCGAAACTCATCTAAATACATTTTCTTGTAGATTTCGAACTCTAGAACTCACTTCCGGCCTCGTTTCTTTGATAACTGCAACCGTTTTTCTGGAATCGATCGTTGAAATATCGCGATTTTTAGAAATCTTCAAAAATTTGCATTTCTTACCGATTCTTTCGAAAATGTCGCTCCGAGACCATCAACACACTATATTTTTGGGATCAGCTTGTCGAGATCTACGTCCCTGAATTTTTTCGCAATTTTTTGACGACTTTTTTTAAAAGTGAAATTTTTCCAAGGGTCCCCCTTCTTCAAATTTCGGCCAATTTTTGACATTTTCGAAACTCAACTAAATACATTTTCTTGTAGATTTTGAAATTTAGAATTCGCTTCCGGTCTCGTTTCTTTGATAACTGCAACCCTTTTTCCGGAATCGACCGTTGAAATATCGAGATTATTAGAAATCTTCAAAAATTCGCATTTCCTACCGATTCTTTCGAAAATGTCGCTCCGAGACCATCAAGACACTATAATTTTGGAATCAGCTTGTCGAAATCTACGTCGCTGAATTTTTTCGTAATTTTTTGACGACTTTTTTTTAAATGAAATTTTTCCAATGGTCTCCCCTTCTTCAAATTTCGGCCAATTTTTGACATTTTCGAAACTCATCTAAATACATTTTCTTGTAGATTTCGAACTCTAGAACTCACTTCCGGCCTCGTTTCTTTGATAACTGCAACCGTTTTTCTGGAATCGACCGTTGGAATATCGCGATTGTTAGAAATCTTCAAAAATTCGCATTTCCTACCGATTCTTTCGAAAATGTCGCTCCAAGACCATCAACACACTATATTTTTGGAATCAGCTTGCCGAGATCTACGTCCCTGAATTTTTTCGCAATTTTTTGACGACTTTTTTTAAAATGAAATTTTTCCAATGGTCCCCCCTTCCTCAAATTTCGGCCAATTTTTGACATTTTCGAAACTCATCTAAATACATTTTCTTGTAGATTTCGAACTCTAGAACTCACTTCCGGCCTCGTTTCTTTGATAACTGCAACCGTTTTTCCGGAATCGACCGTTGAAATATCGCGATTATTAGAAATCTTCAAAAATTCGCATTTCCTACCGATTCTTTCGAAAATGTAGCTCCGAGACCATCAAGACACTATAATTTTGGAATCAGCTTGTCGAAATCTACGTCCCTGAATTTTTTCGCAATTTTTTGACGACTTTTTTTAAAATGAAATTTTTCCAATGGTCTCCCCTTCTTCAAATTTCGGCCAATTTTTGACATTTTCGAAACTCATCTAAATACATTTTCTTGTAGATTTCGAACTCTAGAACTCACTTCCGGCCTCGTTTCTTTGATAACTGCAACCGTTTTTCTGGAATTTACCTTTGGAATATCGCGATTTTTAGAAATCTTCAAAAATTCGCATTTCCTACCGATTCTTTCGAAAATGTCGCTCCGAGACCATCAACACACCATATTTTTGGAATAAGCTTGTCGAGATCTACGTCCCTGAATTTTTTCGCAATTTTTTGACGACTTTTTTTAAAAGTGAAATTTTTCCAATGGTCCCCCCTTCTTCAAATTTCGGCCAATTTTTGACAGTTTCGAAAAGCTCTAGAACTCACTTCCGGGCTTGGTTCTTTGATAGCTGCAACCGTTCTTTCGTAATCGACCGTCGAAATATCGAAATTTTAGAAATTTTCAAAAATTCACATTTCATGCCGATTTTTTCGAAAAATTGCTCGCTGATCATTGACTAAAGACAATTAATTATAAAAATGTGACAAAAAATTGCAAATAAAATTAGTCCGAATACCGAAACTTTGTAAACAGTAATTTAATTGACCAAAATGGCAATTAAATTCATCTGCATTGCAATTTCCGACCGCACAAACTATAATTAAATCCCAATCAATTAAACCAAATTAATTACAAACCCGAATCTGTTTGTTAATACGTCACAAGGAAAACAAAAAACCGCCACTACAATCAATACTTCAAACCACAAAGTCGCCCCAGAAAAAAATTCTAAATTTACCCCGCCGACGCTATTTTTACCCTCATAGAAAAATGCCCGCAAAATTCGTTTCGAAATAGCTCCACTAACGTCTGCACGTTGCAAAAAGGTCACGTTGACTTTTCGCCACAATGAAATTGCGGGCTTCGGTTATTCGCTCTGAAATAGAATTTATATAAGCTGCAGACATCATAAAATAGAAATTTGCCTTAATCGAACCGGGTTACGAGGATTCCTCGTAACTTAAACAACAATGCTTAATAAAGGTTGCAATTACCGATGTGACAAGAGAATTG